TGGACGCTCAGTAGCAGCGGTATGTACCATCTACAAGATGCACTGCAGAAATTTACTAAAGATCCTTAGACAGCTCTTTCTAAACCAACAATCAACTTCTATCTAGAAGGATGAGGGCAGCAGATACATGGGAACACCACCCTCTGCAAGTTCCCCTGCAAGCCACTCACTGTCCTGACTTGGAAATATATCACTGTTCGTCCACTGTCACTGGGTCTAAATCCTGGAATTTCCTCCCTGAGGGCATTTTGGGTCAACCTACAGCACATGGACTGCAGCGGTTCAGGAAGGCAGCTCACCCCCACCTTCTCAAGGGGCAACTAGGGAAGGGCAATAAATGCTGGGCCCCCCAAATCCCATGAGTGAATCAAAACAAAACCTTTCATGACTGTGGGAAATCCTGAAGTGCTTTATGGCCAATGACATAGTTTTTGAAGTTGTGATGGAGGAGGTGAAACGGATTCCATTTCCCAGATGGGATGAGAATTGCTGTAGTCGTTCCCTTCAAACATCCATTCTGCTCCTTCCTTCAGACCATGACTGTCCCGCTGTCGATATTCTCTGTTTCCAAACATTGGGCTTGCTCACAATGCAACTTAGGGAATGTCAGCCTTTGTTAGAGCACGAACTCGGATAGCAAAAGCCACAGGGAATTCTTTATCTGAGTGAAGTGGATTGGTTGAGCCAGCCTTCGGCAGCAGTGTGAGTGAGTGACCACTTGGTTACTTCACAGCTGGTGGTGACATTTCAAGGGAGCTTTGCACCCACAAATTCAGAAACAGCAGAGTAGGGAACGATTAGAAACTGAGGGCTTTTAGAAAGTTTCCCATCGTGCATGAAGGATTAACCAAACAGAATTCCGGTTCATTTCTCTTCATCCTGTTCATTTCTGTTTATTGTGGGAGGCAATGGCCTAGTAGTATTATCATTAGACTGTTCAGAGGCCCCGATAATGCTCTGGGGACCCAGGTTTGAATCCCACCACAGCACATAGTGGAATTAAGAGTCTAATGATGACCATGAATCCATTGTTGATTGTTGGAAAAACTCATCTGGTTCACTAATGTCCTTTAGGGAAGGAAACTGCCATCCTTACCTGCTCTGGCCTACATGTGACTCCAGACCCACAGCAATGTGGTTGACTCTTAACTGCCCTCAGGGCAATAAATGCCGGCCTAGCCAGTGATACCCTCATCCCGTGAATGAATGAAGGAAAAAAATTGACTCTCTCCAGGGTCTCTGTGTCTTGCAGCATCCTCCACCTCTGCAACCCTCTGAGATCTCTGTGTTTCTCCAAGCATAGCCTCTTGAACATCCTGAACATTAATCTCTCTGCCATTGATGGCTGTGCCTTCTGCTGCGTTGGACCTAGGCTCTAGAATCACCGCCTTAAACTTCTCCTCCTCTCTCTCTCTCTATCACTCTCTCTCTCCGCCTTTCAAGCCCTTCTTAAAAACCATCTCTTTAACCACACTTATGGTCACCTGAATTAATATTTCCTTATGAGGCTCAGGGTAACGTTTGGTCCTGTGAAGTGCCTATGGACATTTTCCACTGAAAAGTGTGCAATATGAATTAGCTGTATATAATAGTAGCTGTTTGTCTGATGTCACTAACAATTTCATGATCCATCTGACTTGTTTAATAAGCCCCTGGTTGTCTGAAATCCAATTTGACTGTTTAGACAGAATGGCATATGATTAATTATTTGCCTTTTAAATCGAAAGAGACACTGGAGAGGTGTATCAATTTTATGATGGATAAATTTCTGTGAAGTTGAGGATGGCTGCATTGATCAGATTAAAATAGCCACATGTGAAGTTACTTTGGATAGGTTATAATTGTTTTATGTCTAGGATGATTGAACCTTTCCTTACCGTTCCTCTCTACCTCCTTTTTTTTCCTTCTTGCTTTTAATACAACATTACTTCCCACTTTTCATTTCTCTTTCTGTGTAGGATCTGTCTCTTATAGACTTCTGTTAGCCACATTTGGAACAGAGGTGGACTGACAAGGAAACTTGCCTCCATTCTCCAACACTTTATTTCAGTTCTTTCATGTTCATTGAAGAGTTTTTAGACCTTATGTCACACAGCCCACAATCCCCACAAAGAAATCTATTGAAATCGAGCAAACACTTTTTTCTCACCCATCTCTATGTTCCGTCAAAGAAGCCAATCCAGCAGAGAATGTGTTTTAACTATGACTACCCTAGCTGCAGCCTTGTGGTCATTTGAATGTTTGAAAAGCAGGGCATTTAAGAATATTCAAATCATGAAACTTAAACAGGCTCATCCATCCTCTGAAGCTACTAGTGAGTGTCCACTCCATCCATTTATGACACCAGTTTAGGGGCTTTCATGCGGCCAAAACAGATTCTTTCTGAAATCAGTACGAAGTTCAAATGGCCCGCTGACTTCAGATTTCCCTCCTGTGTCAGTCATTCCTTCAATCCATTCCCACTTTTTTGGCAAAACCTGGAGCTGGCACAGACAGGGCATCCTGATCCCACCTGACATTTTTAAAAGCTCACATAATCGGAATCATATATCACAGAATCCCTACAGTGTGGAAACAGGCCCTTCGGCCCAACAAGTCCACACCGACTCTTAGAGCATCCCAACCAGACCCATCCCCTTATAACGCACATCCCTGAACATTATGGGTAATTTAGCATGGCCAATCCACCTAACTTGCACATCTTTGGACTGTGGGAGGAAACCGGAGCACCCGGAGGAAACCCACGCAGACACGGGGAGAAGATGCAAACTCCACACAGGAATGTTGGAATCAGGAGCAGGAAAGGGTGATTTGCCCCTTGGAGCCTGATCGAGCTCTCTGTCTGCTCACCTCCTCCCCTGCCCCACCCATTCTCCCTGACTCCCTTCTCTATTAGAAATCTGTCCAATTCAGTTTTGAATAAATTCAATGACCCAGCCTCTGCTACCTTCTGGGGAAGAGAATTCTACATACCATCAATCTTCTGGAAGGAAATATTCTCCCCCTGTCTTAAAAGGGAGACCTCTTATTCTTAAATTATATCCTGTAGTTCTATCTACTGTCCATTCTATCTAGTCCCTCAGTATAGTTGAAAGATGTACAGAAATTTCTGGAGAAACTCAGCAGTTCTGGCAGTAGCTAGGGAGAGAGAAACAGAATTAATGTTTTGAGTCCGGTGTGACCCTTCTTCCGAACCCACAGAATTTTTACGTGTCTTAGTAATTACACCTCAATCTTCTAGACTCCAATGGGTACAGATCCAACATGTTCAACCTTTCTCTGTAAGTTAAACCCTTTGTTGAAGAAACGAGTTGAATGAATCTTCTCTGAGTTGCTTCCAAAGAAATTACAATCTTCTTGCAATACAGAGACCACAAACTGTACACAGCAATCCAACTGTGGTAACAGCTAAAGCGAAAAGTTCCACCTTTAACATTTCATTCCCTTTGTGGTAAACATCACATTCTAGTCAACTTCCTAATCGCTTGCAGTATCTGTATACTAACATTTCTGACCCTGTGAAAATCCAGCCTGAGGCCTCTGTTTATAAAGTTTAAGATACTGACCACTTTCCCGATACCCTTCAATGATTAAAAGCAAAATATTGCAGATGCTGGAAACCTGAAATAAACTTAGACAATGCTGGAGAAACTCAACAGCTCTGGCAACATCTGTGGGGAGAGAGACAGAGTGAACATTTAAAATCTGGTGTGACTTCAGAACAGATCCGAAAGGAGTCATACCAGACTCGAAATGTTCACTCTGTTTCTGTTTCCACAGATACTGTCAGACCTATTGATATTCGCCTTCAATCATTTATGAGTATAAAGCTCAAGGTCTCCCTGATCCTGCACCCTCTGGACAATTGTGCCCTTGAGCTTATATCTTATTTTGCAGTTATGGTTCTTTATCCACCTGTGTTCCAGTTTCTGCATCTTTTATTAATTGTTTCTTTTGTGTTTGGTGCATTCAGTTTACCCAAACTAGTGCCAGAACATTGTATTTCTGTCAAAGTCCAATGCATTGAACTGCAATTGAAGATGAAGAGCCCAGGGAGATGTTATCAGCTGCTGATTGTGTGAAGGTTTAAGGTGCCGTGTTTAGTGTTTGTTAGGTACATATTTCAATCACAAATACACTCGCTAATGTGGGAGACCCCTTGGTCTGTAGTTGTACTTGCGGCATCAGATGTTAAAGTTGATCATACATTTTCAACTTTGCTAAAGTTTTGCAGAGTGCAGGTTTGGGGTAAATTAGCTCTTAGGGCCATAGAGCCATACAGCACAGAAACAGACCCTTCGGTCCAACCAGTCCATGCTGAACATAATCCCAAATTAAACCAGTCCCACCTGCCTGCTCCTGGCCCGTATCTCTCCAAGCCTTTCCTATTCATATACTTATCTAAGTGTCTTTTAAATGTTGTAACTGTGCCCATATCCACCACTTCCTCCGGAACTCAGGAAGTTCATTCCACATGTGAACGAGCCTCTGTATAAAAAACTTGCCGCCATATCATTTTTAAATCTGTCTTCTCTCACCTGAACAATATGTCCCCTAGTCTTGAAATCCCCCAACCCAAGGGAAAAGACACCTACCATTAATCTTATCTGTACCCCTCATGATTTTATAAACCTCTATAAGGTCACCTCTCAGTCTCCTACCTCCAGTGAAAAAAAGACAAAGCCCATCCAGCCTTTCTTTATAACTCACATCTTCCATACCTGGCAACATCCTGGTAAATCTCTTCTGAACCCTCTCCAACTTGATAATATCCTTTGTATAACTGTGTTTTCTATATTTCACTTTGTCGTACAAAATGTGTTTCATTTCATTTCTGGGGAATGGCCACACCCAACTCACTACTACCCTAGGCTTTGGCCTACAGTCTGTCTCCAGGTGATTCTCTGTGCATTTCCATAAGGTTCTGTTTCGGGAGGCTGACCTGTGTTTCCAGAAGGTTCTGTTTTGAGAGGCTGACCTGTGTTCTATGCCTTGTTTAGGACTCGCTAAACCAATTGGACTGATGGAGGGACCTGGTGGCCTAGGCCAGGGAGGAGTTGCTGCCACTATGAGAGATGAGAGTCGTGAGTTTGATGCTAAATATGAAGATTACGGCTACAATGCTCAGCTCAGCGACAGGATATCACTCGACAGGTCGATACCAGACTACAGACCACAAAAGTAATGAGCTCAGTTAACTGCTTTAGATATTTTTGTGAGTTGGGGAAGGGGATATTCATTAAATTAAAAAAAAACCTATTGGGCATGATGCAGAAACTTGCAGCATATCAGTCCTTCTGCAATCTTTGACAAGTCAATATTTCAATGAATCGATTGGTAATGTTGCTCGTTGCACCATTTGCAATGGCAGGGTGGAAATGTGACTGGGACTTGTAATCTGAAATCCCAGGCTAATGCTCTGGGGTAGCATGGTGACTCAGGGGTTAGCACTGCTGTCTCACAGCACCAGGGACCTGGGTTCCATTCCACCCTCAGGTGACTGTCTGCGTGGAGTTTGCACATTCTCCCTGTGTCTGTATGGGTTTCCTCCGGGTGCTCCGGTTTCCTCCCACAGTCCAGAGGTGTCCAGGTTAGGTGGATTGGCCATGGGAAATTGCCCCATAGTTCCCAGGGATGTGCAGGCTGGGTGAATTAGCCGTGGGAAATGCAACATTATATGGTACGTGGAATGGGTTTGGGTTAGATGCTGTTTGGAGGGTTGGTGTGGACTTGATGGGCCAAATGGTCTGCTTCCACACTATAGGGATTCTATGATTCTCTGGGGTACATGGATTCGAATTCTATCAGAGTAGCTGCTGAAATTTGAATTAAAAGAGTGAAAATGTAGCTAACTCCCTTCCCTGCGATTTTGATGGTTTGCAATGCACATAATGGGCTTTGCTCGTAAGTATTGAATAGTCTACACTGGTCTATTTATGGGTGGTGGCTATTTGTATAAAAATAAAACTCATGGTGGTTTTGGTGGGAGAGAGGTCACTCAGTTGTGTGAGATAACACTTCTGTGTAGAAAAAAAGCGTTGGGTTGTGAGGGACCCTCTTGAGGCACAGTGGTAGTGTCCCTACCCCTGGACCGGGAGTCCTGCGTCAAGTCAGTAATAACACCTCTGGACAGGTTGATTAGAAAAATAGGTCAATAAAAAGAACATTTTAAAAAATTAGGAACGGGGCTTTGAGGAGCCCTGTTGTTGGTGCAGTGGTAATGTCTGTGCCCTTGGAGTAGGAGGCCCAGGTTCAAGTTCCATGTGCTCCAGTGGTGTGTAATAACATCTCTTTGAAGAGGTTAATTAGAAGAAATAGTTAAATTAAAAACAAAAGTTTTTTTTTAAAATCAGCTAACCTAATTGTAAAAGTCAAGCAGTTCACTAATGGCCCTCAGAGAGTAGCAGGACCTACAAATGGATTCCAGTTGATGTTTATCTGCTCTCTGAGCAGTTGGGAATTGGCAAATAAATACCAGCCAAGCCAGTGACACTCACTTCCCATAAAAGGCCCATGAATAGCCCTGGCTACATCTTCCCTGCCAAGCCACTCACCATCCTGCCTTGTATCAGCCCCATGCTTTCATTCTCACTGGGTCAATGTCCTGGAACAAGACATACACAACACATGGACTGCGATGGTTCAAGAAGGCAACTCACCACCACCTTCCCAAGGGGAAACTAGGGACGGGCAATAAATGACACCCACATCCCACATGATATCTTTGATGTGTAGGTTGGCTGTCATAATTTGCCTATCATAACGTTTCATGGATGTTTTGTTGTCTGTGCATGCTTTTGGATGAACAATAGAAATGCAGGCTGGTGGTGGACGTTTGCAGAGTGAAATGCTGTTGTTTAATGAAGAGATTCTCCAGCACTGTTGGCTTGACTGATGTGAGGTTTCCAGGGTAACTTCTCACAGGAGACTGCCAAACCCACTGAATTCACAGCGGACTTTTCCGAGCTGTCGGTCAGTGCAAAACCTCAATTTCTTTCACGTTGCTACGAACGGGAGACAGCATCTGAAAAGCTATTTCCAATCTCCATCAGCCCCTTACCCTTTCAGTTCATGTCCACTGCCTTTCTACAATGCAACAACTCCACCCTCAGCTGACTCGACAATGCTGTGGGAATTGTAATTTGTGGAAGTGCTGGTTTTTTACGTAACTTGACTCAAAAACATAAACAAAAACCATTACATTCTACGATCCCAAAGAAATTTCGTTGTTCTTGCTGGGGAATCTTTGCAAGCAACAAGAACATGAGAAACAGAAGCAGGAGTAGGCCTTTCGGTCTCTTGAGCCTGCTCCATCATTTTACAAGATCATAGCTGATCTGCTCAGGTCTCAACCCCTCTTCGCTATGAGCTCCTCGTAGCCTTCCAGTCCTCAATGTTTCAGAAATCTATCTCCTGCCTCTTTAAACACTTGTTGTGATCTAGCCTCCACAAATCTCTGGGGCAGAGAAATCCAGACATTCACTACCCTCTAAGAGAAAAAATTACTTCTCATATCTCACTAATGGCCCTCAGAGAGTAGCTAGACCTACAAATAGATTCCAGTTGATGTTTATCTGCCCTCTGAGCAGTTGGGAATTGGCAAATAAATACCGGCCAAGCCAATGAAACTAACTTCTCATAAAAGGCCCATGAATAGCACTGGCTGCATCTTTCTCCTCATTCTGTAACTATGACCCCTCATTTGACAATCTCCCACGAGTGAAAGCATCCTCTCAATATTATTATCTGTCAAACCTCCTTAAAATCTGAACTATTTCAATAAGATCATTCCTCATGCTTCTAAGCTCTAACCTGTTTAATAGCATGAACCTGTTCAGTTGTTATTGAGAAGTTAACCCCATTGATCCCAGGAATTAGCTGAACAACCTCCAATGTCAGTCTCTTCTTTCTTAAATATGGGGGCCCAGACTGGACTTAATCCTTCAAGTGTGGTCTCACCAACACCCTGTACAGTTGTAACAAGACTTCCCTGTTTTTAATCTCCAAAACTCTCCCCCAACCAGCAACAAAGACATTTATATTACACATCTCCCAGCCTTAGTTTTGCAGCTAATTCAGCTCTTTTGAAGTGTAACCTCTGTTATTATTGTTGGAAGTGTGGCAGCCAATTTACCCACAGGAGGATCCCGCATTACTTTATGGGAATATGGAATCAGACACATTCCCCTCCCCTCCCTTGTCAGCCTTCTACAGGGACAATTCTCTTTGGGACACCCTGGTCCATCCCTCCTCAATTCCCAACACCCCCATCAGCCCCATGGCACCTTCCCCTGTGACCACAGAAGGTGTAACATCTGCCCCTTTACCTCCTCCCTCCTCAATATCCAGGGCCTCCAAACGTACCTTCCAGGTGAAGCAGAAATTCACCTGTACTTCCCACAATCTATTCTACTGCATTCACCGCTCACAATGTGGTCTCCTTTACAATGGGGAGACAAAGCGCAGACTGGGTGACTGCTTTGCAGAACGCTTGTATTCTGTCCACAAAAATGACCCTGAACTTCCAGTTGCCTGCCGTTTCAACACACCGCCATGTTCCCTGGCTAACACCTCTGTCGCAGGCTTACTGCAGTGCTCCAAACAAAGCTCAGGGCAACCTGGAGGAATAACACCTCATTTTCCACTTGGGAACCTCGCAGGCTTCTGGACTCAACACCGAGTTCAATAATTTTAGGGCCTGACACCTTTTCCCATGCCCTTACCCCAAACCCCACACACCAGGCCTTGTCATCCCATGGGCTGTTCCCACACATGGCCCATTGTCAGCCACTAGTGGTCCCCATTAGCAGCTGTTGGTTCTCCCAGGCTGACCATTACCCATTCCTGTGTCTTCCCAACTGTTGTTTTCTCTCTCTCTGGCCTCCATCTCCCCCTGTCGTTTACTCCTCCACCCACCCCATCTTCAGCATATATACCATCTTCAACCCCAGTTGCAGTCAATTCTGAAGAAGGGTCACTGGACCCGAAACATTAACTCTGATTTCTCTTCACGCATGCTGCCAGGCCTGCTGAGTTTTCCCAGCAGTTTCTGATTTTGTTTCTAATTGGCAGCATCCTTGATTCTTTGGGTTTCTTTTGTTTGCTATGTTGCCTGATGGCAGTATCTTCTGACAGGACCTCCAGTTTGGCTCTGTTCAGTCACCTCCTGAGATGGCAAGTGGGGTTTATAATTGAGTGTTTCATTCTAAAAGTGTTAAAAGTATTGTTGGAATGGACATGGTTCAGTAAATGTTCTGTTAGCCACAATATGACATCAAAAGTTCTCCTTTAGGTCGACAGATAATATTAGACTTTTGCTGAGACTTAATGATCTCATTCATTTGATACACAATGGATATAATGGCCCGTTGAAGGCATCGCCTAGTCAACTTAGACATAGAATAGGAAAATCTGAAAGTGGTATGTCTGTCAGCCACACTACTGATTTGTTTTTATTCAGCATGAAACTGGAGAATTCTAATGAAGAAAGCACAGTATAATTAGACTAGCAACGTGAATAATGTTTCCGAGGGAACACTAGGTGGTATTTGCCCATTGCAATTTGTCTGGCTGTATTCATGATGGAGTCTTGTTACTACATGGCAATGAATCCAGTGAACAGCTCCTGGTGAGAGAGGACAGCCCAGAAAGTTAATGCTTCTTTTGTTCATTCACAGAATGTGGGTGTAGCTGGCTGGGTCAGCATTTGCTGCCCATACCTAATTACCTCTTGAGGAGGTGGCGGTGAACAGGCTGAACTGCTGCACTTTGTGGGGTACAGGGACACCCACAGTGCTATCAGGGAAAATGTTCCAGGATTTTGACCCAGCGACACTGAAGGGACTGCGATATTTTTCCATGTCGGGACAGTGAGTGGCTTAAAGAGGAACTTGCAAGGGGGTGCGATCTGCTGCCCTTGTCCTTCTAGATGGTACAGGTCATGGGTTTGGAAAGTGCTGTCTAAGATGCATCAGGAAAGCTGTCAGGCAGAAAGAACCATGACAAATTAGCTAACACCGATCAATGTCTTGGCCTCATCTTTCTCTCGCCTTGTCTCTCGCTACTTTTAATGATTTTAATTATTGACCCTTTCCAATTTTTTCTCCTGGAAAGGCTGACCCTTTTCTTTCAAGTAGAATTAGCCCAGTATTGTCAGCACATTAGTCACATGTGGTGCATTG